TGAAAAAAAGCTCAACATCATTGATCATCTGAGAAATGCAAATTAAAACCACAATGAGACACCACTTTACACCAGTCGGAATGGCCATCATTTAAAAAATCAAAAAACAATAGATGCAGGTGTGGATGTGGAGAAAAGGGAGCACATATAACGTTGGTGGGGGTGTAAATTAAAACAATCTCTTTGGAAAGTGATATGGAGATTACTAAAAGTGGAATTAAAAGCAAATCTACCATTTGATTAAGCAATCCCACTACTAGGTATCTACTCTAAGGAACAGGGGTCATTACATTTAAAAAGACATCTGCATCTGTGTGGTCATTGCAGCACAATTCACAATTGCAAAGATGTGGAATCAACATAACTGCCCATCAACTGGTCAGTGGATAATGAAAATGTGGTGTGTGTATATATACACATACCTTGGAATACTACACAGTCATAAAAAAGAATAAAATCATGTTCTTTGAAGCATCATGGATGGAGCTGGAGTTCACCATTCTAAGTAAACTGACTCAGAAATAGAAAGCCAAATACCACATGTTCTCACTCAAACGTGGAAGCTAAATGGTCACAAAGATGGAAATAATAGACACTGGGAACTCCAATAAGGGGGAAGAAAGGAGGGAGTTAGGATTCAGAAACTACCTGTGGGGCACAATATTCACTATTTGGGGAATGGGCTACCCGAGACCCAATCTCCATTACTACACAATATGTCCATGTAGCGATCATGCAGGTTTGCCCCCTGAATCTAAAATAAATAAATAAAATGTCCATTTCTTGATTATTAAAAAAAAAAAAAACTCTTTATGGCTCTTGTTTCACCCAGAGTAAATGTCAAACTCTTTACCTAGCGTACAAAACACCCTGACGATCTGGCTCTGCATTGTCCCTTGAAACACGTCCCACCTGTCTCCCCTCTTGTACTTTTGATACGCATTCTCTGAAAGTTGGAGTGGTTGGACAACCCACTGCAATCCACCGCCTTATGCTGAGCAGATCACATGGTTAATTACAAGGTACCCCATGCTTACTTGAGCTTTTTAACTAGATGGAAAGACAGTAATCAGGAGAAAAGCTACCCAAGGAATTCAGAAGTTCTTCAGTCATTTACACTAGCTATTGTCCCATCAAGGATGCCAGTGGATCATCATGGAATCCTGGCCACACTGCATTCAGTAGCTGTCTGCTTGAAGACGTGGACTCTTAATCCAGGTCCTATAGCCTGAATTATTTCTGATGCCAGAAGACTTTGTGAAAGGGAAGACATTCCAGGTCATGTAGCACAATCCATGGAGCGCCTGTGCTCCTCCCACAAGGGTTCTGAGATGCCTTGGCCAAAAACTTTCTTGGACTCTGCCGGGCTGCCAGATGACATGACTCCTGGGATGTCATTCACACTGTGGTCTATATGAATGGAGCAGTGCACATCCTGGCGAGCTGTAGGCAGTGACCCAACACCCTACAGCACCATTCTAGGGTAGGAACTTGAAATGCTCCCAAGTCCCCTCATGTCTCCCCAGTCTTGTGCTGAAATAGTCACAGCTCTACAACAGATGGACTATCAGACAATTGTTTCTGACAGTGGGTTCACGCTCTCTGCAGATGATTTGAAGGGATCTGTCAATAAGAACTTCACTCCAGCCACCAGCACTGGCCTCATTTGTCTCAAGCAAACAGTGGCGCAGGCTGGAGGAGTTTGGCCTCGGAGGCTCTTCAGGCCTGCCCAGCCTGCTCAACATCCCTCCAGGGTCAAGGGCAGGTGCTGACCTATGGAATTGTACTGATTCCGTTCCCTTTCCTTCACAAAGATAACCCCTCTCTTAATCTGATCTGTTTCTGCTGCTATGGCAAAAATATCCTAGACTGGGTAATTTATAAACGATAGAAATGTATTGCTCACAGCTCTGGAAGACAAAAAAAGTCTTCCAGCCCAAAGATGATGAGAAAGATGGCACTTTCTGACTGTCCTTACAAGGTAAAAGGGCAAGGAATACTATGCAGCTCACTTGAGCCTCTTTTTTAAAGGCATTAACCCCATTTATGAGGGTGGAGGCCTCATGACTTAATTACTTTCCAAAGGCCCAAGCTCTTAATACTATTGGGTATTAAGTTTCAACATATGAATTTTGATGGTGGGACACCAATTTTCAGACCATGGCAACCACAGTCCTGAATCTGGGATTATCCTAATACAGTCTTTGAAACTTGTATACATATTGTTTGTAAATTACCCAGCCTAAGGTATTTTTGTTTTAGCAGCAGAAACAGATCAGATTAAGAGAGGGTTATATTTATGAAGGAAAGGGAATTGGATCAGGGAGGATTCAACCAGCACTTTAATGGCATCTATAATACTTTATCTTATTTGAGTATGTATGTATTTATTTATTTATTTGAGTTGGGGTCTCACTCTGTCACCCAGGCTGGAGCATAATAGAACGATCACAGCTAACCATAGCCTCGACCTCCTGTGCTCAGGCGATCCTTCCACCTCAGCCTCCCAAGTAGCTAGGATTACAGGCATGCACTCCTGGCTAATTTTTAAAATTTTTTGTAGAGATGAGATCTCACTATGTTGCCTAGCTAGTCTCAAACTCCTGGGCTCAAGAATTCCTCCCACCTCAGTCTCTCAAAGAACTGGGATTACAGGTATGAGCCACCGTGCCCAGCCTTGTAATATGTTATTTCTTAAAAGTGCTTATGATATTGTTAGATATATGTTTATATACCTAAGATATATTCATAATTGAAAAGGCATTTTCAAGAGTATCTGAATCCAGTGGGGAGCAGCACTGTGTGTGTTAAGACTGGTGACTCTAGCCGGGCTTGGTGGCTCAGCCTGTAATCCTGCACTTTGGGAGGCTGAGGTGAGTGGATTGCCTGAGCCCACGGATTCGAGACCCGCTTGGGCAACTTGGCGAGACCCCATCTCTACAATAAATCAAAAAAAATTAGCCAGGGTATGGTAGCGCGCACCTGTTGTTCCAGTTACTTGGAAGGCTGAGGCGGAAGGATCGCCGGAGCCCAGCAGGTCGAGGCTGCGGTGGCCGGGAGTGGCCACTGCACTCCAGTCTGGGCAACAGAGTGAGACTCCAACTCAAAAAAAAAAAAAAAAATTAGCCGGGCATGGTAGCGCGCGCCTGTAGTTACAGCTACTTGGAAGGCTGAGGCGGAAGGGTCGCTGGAGCCCAGCAGGTTGAGGTTGCGGTGGCCAGGAGCTTGCTCCTGCACTCCAGTCTGGGTGACAGAGTGACTCCAACTCAAAAAAAAAAAAAAAAAGACTGGTGACTCATCTTGGCAAATCTGGCTCACTTGCTCCTGGAGTTACATACCAGGGACCCTTAACACCAGTAAGGGGTCCCTTTGGAGACCCTTGTGAATTTCCACAGGTATGAACATCACCAGAACATATAATTTCCTCATAAAGTTCAGTAAAGTAAAACTGAAAGACTCAAGTGAGCACTTTAGACAGATTGTAGAGACAAGATCTCATTATGTTGCCCAGGCTGGTCTCAAACTCCCAGACTCCAAGATTCCTCCAACCTCAGCCTTCCAAAGCGCTGGGATTACAGGTATGAGCCTGTGATTCTAGAGACACAGTTGAAGTCATTCATAAATACAGTTGGCTTTCTTCTCATGGCTACTTTCCCCCACAGAGACTGGATTTGCCTTTTTCTTCTCTGTCAGATATCACGTGTTCACCACAACCCTGCGGCCAGCCACATGACTCAGGACTCACATTCACACCTCCAGAGTGCTTCATCAAGTGGACTTCTGTAGTTTCTCATGTAGAAACCTCAGATGTCTATCCAAGGACCTGGGGGCCAATTTAGACACTGTCTGGTGACTACGGCGTGGTGTGTGCCCTGACCAGTGCCACGCCCAGACATGAGGAGCCTAGTCATGGCCCCAGGGCAGGGGAATTGGGAAGGAATAGGGGTTTCAAACCCTGCCAGATCTGGGTTCTTCTTCCTGTGTCACCCTGCATGAGCGGTCTGTGTAAGAGTTAGTGTGTGTGCATGTGTATAAGATGACGCCAATGAACACTAAGGACCTCAAACTGGCCTGGCTGTTCTCTGACCCTGTGCCCGTGGGCTGTAGTCTCACCAGCTTCCTGCTGGTTGCCTAGTGATCTGCCGACATTTTGAGGTGTCCTTCTCAGCCTGACCAGCTGGAGTCATAGGTGTCCACTGCTTTGGGTGACTTGAAGGGCATGTCTACATGAATTTGAAAATCTCTTGGTCCTCAGTGGATTGAGTCATGCCAATTGTGCCCAGTGGTCTTAAGGACCACAGAGAGGCCAGGCCACGGGGTCGGAACAGAATACCTTCAGGGAGCTTGAGTGGACACCTTCAGCACACCTGTGCCTTGACAGTGCCTTCTGTGACATGTGAATAGTGACACTGCTCGTGGCCCTCCCTGGACCACTGAGAGGATTTAGAGGAGGTGTGAATGGGTTCAGTAGGGTGAAACCCACTGTCTATGTTGTCTGTTATTTTAATCAAATAGCAACTTAATTTCTCTGATCTGGGTACTAAGTGGGTTTCCCATGAGGATGTTTCTTCTCTTAGGCATCTTTCTGGTTCCTGCTGTCATGCAATGGAACCCCTCACAAATGAAGAAAGGAAGATCCCTGCCCCTGTGCCCCAGCCAGACCTGACCTGACTTCCCACCATTGCCTCCAGTATGCCCCATGTTTCTCCACAGCCTCACCCACGCGGTTCCCCTTGATGACAATGTCTTATGACCACCCACTGCAATCCTACCTGCTCCCCAAGGCTCATTGCAGATGTTGCCTCCTCCCTGAAGCTTTTTCTGGCTTCACCCAAAATGACGTGATGTGCCTTCCTTGGAACCCCTTCCCTGTGTGCCTCCAAAGCCTGACACGACACCCAACACGCAGCAGGTACTCAGTGTGCATGAAATTGCACGAAGCTGACCAGGCCCCGTGGACCTGTCAGTGTCCCCTGGCATGTGGGAGCCCCAAGCCTTACCTTGGGAGTGAACATGTGTAGGATGCCATCGATTGCCCCTCGCAGCAGCAGTCCCCGGACCAGGAAGCAGGCCAGCACCACGTAGGGGAAGAGAGAGCTGAAATACATCACCTGCAGAGAGGACAAGGGACTGCTGTCAGGGACAGCCCCTCCTGCGGCTGGCACCCCCCACCCTGCTCACAGCTGGGGCACAGCACCTCCTCTGATGGCAGCAGAAAGCAGTGCCCTGGAAACCCCTGGGCATAGGGCCAAACCTACCATACGTCTGGCACTGAGCCAGAAGCGGGAGCCAGCAGGGCTATGCCTGGGGCTGGTTTTCTCCATTAAGGGCTAGCGGGGCTAGGGTAACCTCTAGGCTTTCGAGGGTGAGGGAGTCCTTTGCTCACCACTTCGAGTTTTTTCATGTCTCATGTCCCTAGTGGACTCCCTAAAGATCTCGCCCATCCTTAGAGTCCTTTGACAGAAGACATCCAGGAGGTTAGAGACACAGCTCCCAGGCAGAAAGTCCCAGAAGAAGGCTATAAACCGTGTGCTCTTTTCTTATGCATTTCTTGCACATTTCTCTGTGCCTGGTACAGAGCCTCACACAAAGGAGAAAGATGCTCACAAAATGTTTACTGCACTAAAACAAGTCAGAGAGCTGTCTGGGCAGGATGGTGTAAGGGTTAGGGAGTGTGTGTCTGGAGCGTGGCTGCCTGGGTTCTGATCCCAGCTCCACCATTTATTAGCCATGTGACATCAGACACTTCACTTAACCTCCATGTGCCTCCACCTCCTCATCTCTAAAATGGGTGGGATAATTCCTAATTCATAAAGTTGTTGTGGACCAAACATGTTCATATGGGTGGCGGTATTTGAGAAGTGCTAGAAAGCACCCGCTACTATTTTGGCCCTAGTCGGTGGCTGGGATGACTCTACCTTTCTAGAACTTGGCTTCCTTGCTTATCAAGTCCAGTAAAGAACCTGAGACCTCAAACAGTGAAGATTGCATTAATAGTTCAGGCTCTGAGAATGACTGACTGCGTGATGTTAGGTGAGGTCTTTTCCCTTCTCTGGGCTTCAGTTCCTCATCTGGATTGGTCTATGGGATCGCTAAGGTCCTGTCCATCCCTGGCAGCACATGAGTACTGATATGTGATCAGTGAGAAGTGCCTTCATTTAAAAGGGATCTGAGCTTCTGTGAAGAGGCTTGGGGCTTGACTTCTGCCCCTTAGAGATGACTGTGCAGCTGCCCACCGAGGCCTCCAAGGCCGCCTTCACTCTGCACCTCCCTGCTCAAAGGCCCCTTTAGTTACAGGCTTGGCTAGCTGCTGGTCTCTACCAAAACCTGCTCGGAGCAGGCTCTTCTAGAGTTTTTGCTTGGAAAGCTGAGGGGCCAGAATCCAGACAGATGTCCCTGGGTCAATACTTCTAGCTTTCCTTTTCCTCAGTGTTTGCAGAGCAGGCCTGAGTGATCTGAGCACAGAGGAGGCTGGAGGTCAGGGCGATGATTTTCCAGCAAACTCACTCCTGGTGGGCTGCCCACAGTGAACAATACTGCAGCCGTAATACCCCCACCTCCTCCTCTGGGGACCAATGCCACCATCCAGACCCTTCGGGAGCCCTAGACCACCTAAAGGGCCCTGCATAGGGTGGTCTGGACTCCTCAGCCCTCTGTCCTCTGTGCCTTTCTGTTACCCCTTGTTTCAATCTCGGGTGTCCCCCCACTCACCTTCCCTGAGGACTGGATGCCCTTGACGACGGCCATGCCCACAATGCTCCAGGCCACGAGGAGACACAGGGTCATCTTCCAGTTGAGGCCCCCACTCTCCGAGATGGAATCAGAGATGTCCAGGGCCTCTCGGTACCAGAAGTAGGTCGTGGCTGAGCTCTTTTCACACTCTGCCTCCAGCACTGAAATAGCAGCAAAGGCCACAGGGCCTCGGTGGCGGGGCCTATTGGGCCACTTCCTCCGCTGGACCCCACTCAGGACAGCAGCGGGATAGGGGGTGTCTGAGGATGGGTGGCTGGAAGGGGCTGTGCTTATTCTGGGTTAGCAGATCTGGCATGCTCGGAGGAATCCTAGGCTCCCGATGGGGCCTGGGAGGCTTCAGGACACACAGAACGGGCTGAGTTCACACCCATGCCTCCCCTTGCCCATGTCTCTCCATGGAAGGTAAGAAAGGTTGAGCTGAATTAGCCTAAAGTTCCTTGGGGAAGGTCCTGAACTGGGAGCTGGAGACCTGGCTTCTCACCCCAGATTTTTACTTAAGTGGGTGGTGTGAACATGGGAAGGTCTCCGTTTTCTCATCTCTGAAGAATCATCCAGGCTGTGTGCTTATGCCTGTCATCCCAGCACTTTGGGAGACCAAGGAAGGAGGATTGCTTGAGCCCAAGATTTTGAGACTGGCCTGGGCAACACAGCAAAATCCTGTCTCTACAAAAAATAAAAAAATTAGCCAGGTATGGTAGCGCACGCCTGTAGTCCCAGCTACTTGGGAAGCTGAGGCGGAAGGATCACCTGAGCCCAGGAAGTTGAGGCTGCAGCAAGCGGTGATCTTGTTACTGTCCTCCTGCCTGGGCAACAGAGTGAGACCCTGACTCACAAAACAAACAAACAAAAAAACCAACCAAACAAACATCCAGCCCTTTATAGGACTGGTATGCAAATTCAATTGTTCCTGGAAAGCATAGTGTTAGAATAACAGAGCAGTTCATACCAGTTAAACAAAAGTCACAGTTTCCAGAATTTTACCTACACTCATTATTTTATTCAATCCCTATAAGAAATAGGCCAGAAAAGAGACCATTCACACTGGGGAAGGGAAAATGAGGGTCAGAGATGCTAAGTGACTCTTCCAAGGTGACACGGCAAGCCTGTGAGATCCCAAGTCTGTGCACTAAGCCTGTTAGTCTCCTTCCCGGGACAGAGCTGGCTGGTGTCCCCAGCTAGGGGCCCATACTTGCCTGTTGTGGTCCCATTCCTGATGACAGGACATTCACTCCAGGGTAGTGGGTACTGGAAGGACTTGAAGAAATAGAAGATGCTCCACCCAATGATCACATTATAATACAGCCCGACAAAGAGGCAGACCTAAAGACAGGGACATGGGGGATCAGGAAGGCTGCAGGCATCTCCTCCCTGCCCCCATGCCAAGTAGGCCCAGCGGATGGGCAGCCACAGCGCACAGAATGGCACAGCCTTGAGGGAGGACGAGGAGGCACGAGAGGTGGGCACTGAAGGGTCACCTTCCACCATCCTTCATTGGTATTCATGGAATCCGCAAGGAATTTTCCAAATATTAAAGTTCTCTCCTCTGAGCCACAAACTCCTAAGATGTTGATCCTTTCCAGTTTGAAATTCTTCTAGGACACTTGCAAGCACTTCTTCATCATTTCCTGATGTTTAGGGTTATAATTACAGAGATGCCCTCCAGCACGGTGGAGGCACACACGGCTTTGACCCCTTTGAAAAACAGCCCCAGGCTGCTGTGCATTTTGAGATTTGGGGGTTGCTTTTTTGGCCCCCGTGTCTTCTCTTCTCTCAGAGATTCTACTCCCCAATACCATCAGCCTCCTGCCTCTAGAAAGAGCTCTCTTTTTATTTCTTGGAAACACCGTAATGAACCTTGGCAGAATTTTATTTAAAATAGGAGTGCATGGACTCTGACTGAGGGTCCAAGAGGTCTCTTTGAAAACAATGATTTTATGTTCAGGGCTTTACTGCATCTACCCTGGGTGCCGTGGGGTCCCTTTCAGGGGCCTGGCTGTCTCCAGCATCGGTGAGACTGCTGGTCACTGCAACGGGGGAGCAGCTAGGCATGAGCACCTGTGTGCAGGAGCAGGCGCTCATATGGCAGAACTTACTGGGAACACAGACAGAGACACCCACTTCCTTTACTTGGGTGCTTTCAGTCCTGGTGGGAGACCACATGCACACCACTGCATAGACACACAGCGCCAGTCTCAGCAGAATATGCTGTGTGTGGCCATATTGGCCTGTGCAGAGGTGATGGCTGGCATGAGAGCAGGGGGCTCTGCCTCAGGCTGGTTTGGGCTGGCCCTGCTGCCAGGCCTGACAGAATCCTTGGTCTCTTCTGAAAGCACAGTCCAGTTTTTATCCCAGGTGTGAGCATCTGTGGGCTTTGCCCGAAAGGGAGGTGCAGTTTCCTCACCTGGCGTTCCAAGCAGGGCTCATCTGTGGCCTTGTGAACTCTCACATCATTCCTCATCTGGGGTCAGAGGGGTCTCCCTGTCTCCTACTCTTCCAGAGCCTCACCCTTCCTGGGTCTATCGTCAAGTTTGAGTTCTCCAACTCTGCTCATTAGCACAGCAAAATGCCAAGGGAATCCTGAGCCCCAGGACTGCCTTTTCGTGAGCTCTGACTCGCCCAATTAAAATACTCTTTGACCACAGAAAGAGGAAGGACCTTTCTCATGGGAAGCCTCATGAGTAAACAGAGAGAGCTATCTGGGATAGTCTGTATGTCCCCAGGGAACTCTGGCTGAGATGTCCCAGGAAGCCCCTGGTGTATATGTCCCAGATTTTCCTCCTTAGCACCAATTGCGAAATTTACATGCTGTTTTAGGCAGTGTAGACACTCTCAGTTTAGGAAACATGGCGACTGTGATCCCGAGACCCCAGTTGGAAGCAATTCTCATGTTGACAATCCCCTTCCTGCCTTTACTCCAGACCAGAACTCTGGGCTCTAAATGCTATGGCCTCCTCCCGAGTATCCAAGAGCAGCCCCCTGCCTCCCGCTTGGTGCCTGCCCAACCCTTGACTCACTATGCAGCTGGAGAAGCCAATGCCCCCCAGGCGAGGGCACACATAGTGCCACACACCGATGCTGCCGCGGCGGATCCTCTGGCCCACAGCCAGCTCCAGGAAGAAGAGTGGGATGCCAATGATGATCAGCAGCACCAGGTAGGGCACCAGGTAGGCACCTGTGGGGAGAAGGAGGGATGTCAGAGGGTGTCTGGAGCACAGCAACAGGGCAAGGGAAGGGGTGGCAGCCATGTCCTCCAGTCTCGGCCACATCTCTGATCATCTGCAAAGTTTCACCAGTCCTGGTGCACCCCCATGAATGGTATGGCCATACGTGTGATCTATCACACCCCGGTCCACCCATACCCTCCTTTTACCCCTCGACTCCTGACCCATAACACTAAGGGATGACCCATGTGTATGTCAGTACCTCCATCTCACAAGGCTGGGCTCAGAGACAGACAGACCCTACATCTCAGGATTCCACACATTAAGTCACACACCGACAAACACACTCACCTCATGAGATACCCTATGGGCACCTGTGCACACCCCCTCCCGCCTACAGAGAAGCAATCCCAGATGGTGTGGTGGGCACACTCGCCCCCAGAGGCACAAACACCAGGTGCAGCCTTCCCCGTGTCTGAACTAGACACTGACACAGCAGACTGGGCAGCTCCAGGGAAGCGGAGTTTGGAAGCTCTCCAGGGAGAGAGGGCCTGACCAGCTTCGCCATGAATCTACAACTAATTGGGAAGAACGGGAGAGAAATTAGCAGTTCAGGAAAGCATAGCCGCGAGAATCATCAAGGCTAGAATGGACCTTCCTAAAGATTCCAGATGATGCATTCATCTCCCTGTCCTGGACCTCACTGCAGACACAATCTCGATTCCAAGTGACAGGTCATTTAGCAGGAGAATTAAAACCACGTCTGGACACAGACGAGTGCACCCCACCTAGAGCTGTGCCAACAACCAGTCCTGTTAGCAAGTCCCTGCCTGTCTGTCAAACAGTGTCAGGCCAACCCCCATCACCAGGGCTCTGATAGTCCCCGCCCAGCACCCAAGACCAAGCCTAGCAAGCAGGCAGTCTCCAGAAGCCCCCCAGCCACACTGCTCTGCCCTGATATATAACATCCCACATGCTTCCCAATATGTGCCCAATTTACCAATGAACACTGGGGATCGGGCATCTCCTGGGCATAAAACCTGGCACTTGGCAATGATTCGCTATTTACTGTAGGCCCACTCTGTTCCAGGTACAGGCAATGGGGGGAGCGGAATAACAGACAGCACAGATGCTATCCTGGAGAAGTTCACAATCTGCCAAAGAGGTAGGACTCTTAGAGTCATTTGAGCAATGTCAGCATGCATGTGTACACATGGATACCACAGACTAGTCACAGGGGTCAACTGAGCACACACATGCTGAGGGAGGGTCCAGGGTCTAACGGAGCTAATCAGGGTGGCCTTCCAGAGGAGGTAACCCACTGAGCTTTACACACAAGCATCTGATTTATTAAATGCACACACGCACATGTAAACTCAACTAGTCACTAAGGAGTGGCCCTATCATGGTACTCCAAGGAGGAAAACCCATGGATCTGTCTTGAACTCAGTCTCTTGATCTTGGTTGGGGGAAAATGGATAGGAGAGAAGTGACCTGCTGCAGGGAGGCAAAGGGATACGACCACACGGGTTTTTATTTTGTCCTAGTGTCCTTGGGTGGGGTGAGGTGTGCAGGCAGATGAGTTTTGGGGCACCTGCAAAGTAGGTTGGCAACTTCCATGGATGCCTCTCTCCTCTCCCCCAAATAACCAGGGAAAGTCTCCAGGTAAGTGCTGTCCAAGGTGGTCGGGGCAAAGACCAGGTTTCAGCCCTCTACCGCCCAGGCCTGTCCACCTCAGGCAGGCCACAGGGCACTGACTGACTAACCATCTCTCTACACACCAAGGCTGAGCTAACCAGACCGCTCAGGGCTACAGTCATGGTGGATGGAACTCTCAATCAGAGTTACTTTTTCATATCAACCTTTGTTGAAATCATTTGGAAATGCAACAGCACCCTCTTCCACCCTAGAACATACAACTTGGGGACACGACTGGATTTGTTTTGACATTTTGGCAGCTTTCAGAAGCCTCCGGTCATTCGTCTGACAAGCAGGGAGCACTGTTCAGAGCTAGGAAATTCAGCAGAGTGTGGCCAGAGGGGAGAGGAGACCGGGCTGAGGTCCCCTGGGTCTCAAATAGTGTATGTCTCAGTCAATACTCTGAGTCTCACATCTGGCAAACCTCGAGGTTATTTCTGGGGTTCAAAAGGCCACCTTGGCCTCCACCTGTTGTGATATGGATTGCCTAGGAGTTAAGATCCAGGTCCTGGAGTCAGACCTCCTAGGCTTGAATTCTGGTTCTCCCTCTTACTAGCTGTGTGAGTTTGGGCAAATTATTTGATCTCTCTGTGCTGTTATTTTCTCATCTGTGTAAAGAGGATACATTGATCATGCAGCTAACCCTGAATTGTACCCCACATCTTTATAACAAATAAATAAATTAACAAAAAAAAAGAGGATACAAATATTAGGTATGAAACTGGTGATATTTTTGACCATTTACAAAGATAGCCATTTTGTAAGCTTCAACCCTACACCTATCCCACAGGCTGTTATAAAGAGTAAATGAGTTACTTACCTATAGTGAGCACTTGATGGACATTTGCCTCTTTCTCATAAAAATAAACAGGAAAAAGCAAACTAAAAGTATACAGAATAAAAAAACTGGCCACATCTGGTAGAACTAAGAAGAGTTCCAGAGTCTCCATCCAGAATTAAGCAAAGTTTGGATCACTCAAGGCTCAAAAACACAGAAAATCAACTCAGACCAAACAGCTGTCTCCTTCCTGTAATAATTTGTCTTCTTCTAAACAAATAATTAAGATGACTTCCTATAAAACCTATAAAACACAGGACAGTTAAAGGTAGAGATAAAAAGGGATTGCAGAAATCAGAGAGGATGAGAAAATGCAACCAGGACTGTGAAATAGAAAGCTCAGAATCCTGAGAGTTGACAGCGCTTTTCTTCTGGGGGTGGTTCTTTATGTCTGGTGCCATGGCGACTGTCTGGTATCCCAGCAAATGGGCAGACTGTGGCAATAACACTGCCCTGGGTGTGTGTGTGTGTGCAGAGAAAAGGTCTCTGTGATTCAGCACCGAGTGCCCAGGTAGAACTGATCATTTAAGCCAGGACAAGGTTAGAGGTTCCTAGCTAAGTCCCCACCGCCACATATCCTCTGAAGTTGGATGCCTGGAAGCTCTTCTCAACATCTCACAAGGTACAGGGAAACCACACACTTATACTTATATCTTGGCTTTGGGTTGGTCTTATATCAACTTAGTAACCATGCAGTGCGGACCAAAAACTCTGACTGATAGTCATTTGGAAAAAACAAAAGATCTTTCAAGCAAGAAGCCCAGATGGCATGACGCCATGTTATGGTGGAAAGATGGAAGGCTCTGACCTAACTCAATCCCACAGGCTCAGGTGGACATTCTCTCTGCTCTTCACATGAGAAAGGAAGAGAAGCCCCCAGGCAGACATGACCTTATGAACCAGGGAGAGATGTGTCCTGGAGAGGAAGGGTGAAAGGACATAAGACGGAGTCAATATACCCAATGGGCAGCCATTTTAACCTTGCCTAGATCTGTCATGTTTTTCTAGCAGTTCAATTTAATTTACCCTCTAATCACTAACCAAAGACAGAACCGATTTCTCAGAGGTAGCTATTGATGATTGTTTTACAGTCCCTTTGTAAACAAGTTAACCTAATCAGTCCTTCATGACCTTCAGGACACAGACTGCATCAACATGGCAACAGTCATGTGACTGACCCACCCATCTGCCTGCTGTCTATCACCTGACATCAGTACCTGTGTATACCTGTCCGCTTCATGATGACATGGAAAAGACCACCACCCAATCACCTTAATGACCTGTCCCCAGCAGAAGGAAGGTTTAAAAGCATTCAACTTCAAGCAGCCATTTGGCATTGCTTTGCTAAACACTGGCCAGACCATGTGCTCATTGAGCTATGGTCACCATGTTTCCTAGCCTTGGCCCCTTCCCCTACCTCCAAGAATTCTTCTCTCTCTCTCTCTCTCTCTAATTTACTTTCTGGTCATTGATTTGTTAAACTCTGGTGTGGCCATGTGGCTCTTTGAGCACTGGACAGGCCATGTTTTCCTAAACTTTGGTCCCTTCCTATCTTAGGGAGATGACTCTCCTCTCTCTCTCTCTAATTTGCTTTCTAAATAAACTATATTTTTCAAGCTAACTTCTGTGCAGTTCTTTGCATCTAAGGCTTGGCACTGGATTGCACAACCCCTGGAGGGGTCTAACCTAACACTTTTGGAGGCCCCTACTAGGATTTTTAACCTAATGTGGTACTGTCCCTGAATGGGGCTACACCTTTAGGAGAGGCTATGTGGTGAGAGTCCCACAGAGCAGGGAGGGAAGGACTGGGGTCAAATGTCTGCAAAACTGGGGCCACCCAGCAGGCTGGCATGTGCTATCCAGGCATGGGGACCCAAGAGCATGAGAGCTCTCTCTGCAGGCTGAAATCCTCAGGACCAGAGGTCTGGGCTTGGAAGCATCATTGTTTCCAGCCTGTTGGGGTTATCTTTATTTATCTTCAGTTAATTGTCCCCCAGTTTCAGAGCGAACTGCCTTTGGAAAATTCCAGTCTACTTCAGAGGTACTGGGGGCTTCTACTTAACCTGCAGGCTGCAAGTGGTGGTAGTGGTTTGCTACCAGAAGCAAGATCCTCAAGAGTGATTCAAACACAGGCGCAGCATGGGGGAAGCCTTCCTACCTGAGACAGTAGGTGTGGTGGTTAAATGCCCAGGCCTTGGGACCAGGCTGTCCAGGTATGAATCCTGGCTTTATTACTAGCTGGAACCCTGATCACACATGACCTTGAACAAGTTACCTGACAAATCCATGCCTCAATTTTGCAGCCTCTAAAACGAGGATGAGAATAACTCCTTCCTCCCAAAAGGTTGTTGAAAGGATGTGACGATTGAATGGTATGAAATTGGCGCTTTGGTGTTGCAAGATGGTGGTTTCAGGCATTTAAGCCCAATATCCACTCAGCCCTTAGAATGGTGCTTGGCACTGGCTAGCATTTAGTAACAGTGGCTGACTCGTACTCGATACCATGGGCGTGTGTTACACATTCCACACATAAAGCTCATGAAATTTTCCCAACTATCTCAGGAAGCAGGAACTATCCCCATTTCGCAGATCACAGAGAGCAAAGCAACTCATAGTAGATCCCAGAACTGACTGGCAGGGCTAGGACCTGACACAGGCAGGCCCTTTCTCACCATCACATCCTAAGCCTCTTGATAGTCACTAGCTCTCATTACATCTGCTCCTGGGCATCTTGCTCTAGAATCCTGAACCCCAACCTGCAAAGGCTCCAGTTCTGCCTCAGCCAAAGGGTGTTCTTTTTCACGCCTCAGGTGTAAGCTGGGCTGCCTCTTACCTCCTCCATTTTTCTGGCACAGGTAGGGGAACCTCCAGATGTTGCCCAGACCCACGGAGAAGCCAATCTGGGCCAGAATGTACTGCAGCTTGCTGTTCCAGGCTGGCCGGTCCTCGGCATCCAGCTCCTCCTCTGCTGCCTTCTGCTTGCCGCCGGCCTCGCCGGCCACATTCAGTACGCTCTGCTTATAGTCCACAGGCTCCTCAAGGGCCAGCAGGTCGGCCACCGACTCAGTGACATGCTCACTGCTGTGCTCACGCTGGGTCACCTTGCTGTTCTTAGGCATTGGTGCCGCCGGGCCGTGCAGCCCTGCTCCCCGGCACACAGAGAAGGTGGGACTCGGCTGCTGTCAGCTGCTTCTCATCCAGGGACCTGGGAAGCCAAGAGAGCAGGAGAGGATTAGCTGACCACACTAGGGAGGTGGGAGTCCAAGGTTGACACAATCCAAGCCAACTCCCTGTTTTACACGTTGAGGCTTGTCAGGAGGTTTGGTTGGCTCTCCCTCGGTAAAACTAATGGGGCAACGTAGGCAAAACCATACACAAACCCAAACAAAGGGTTATTATCCACAATGACATTTCTCTTTCATTCTGCAGAGGTTTGAGCGTTCAAGGCCCTTTGGAGATCCCACAGTCTTCCACTCCTTTCAGGGTAGCCAAGGTTCTGGCCAAGACTTAGCCCTCTTGTGTTCTGCTATTTAGCAAAAAATACCTGGTAGGCGCCAAGGAAACCAGTGTCAGCCTTCTCTAGGGTCTATTTATTCCAACTGTATTTCTTGTACCAATAGCATCACCAGGAATTTGTTAGACATGCCAAATCTCTGAACAAACATGCATTTTAGGCCCAGGGCAGTGGCTCATGCTTGTAAGCCCAGCATGTTGGGAGGACGAGGTGGGAGGATTGCTTGAGGCCTGAGCAACATAGCGAGACCTCATCTTTACAAAAAAAAAAAAAAGAAGAAGAAGTTTTAATTAGCGGGGCGTTGTAGCATGTATGTACAGTTCCAGCTACTCGGGAGGCTGAGAAGGAAGGATCTCAAGTCTAGGAGGCTGAGACCGCAGTGAGCCATGACCATGCCACTGCACTCCAGCCCAGGTAACAAAGTGAGACTCCAATTCAAAAATCAAAAACAAAACTCCAAAACCATGCACTTGTACTCCCCTGAATCTAAAAAAAAAATTTTAAAGAAATGCAGAATCTCAGACCCGTTGAATCATTCTCTGAATTTTTACAGGATTCCCAGTTGAGTCAAACAACATTAACTTTAAAAAATAAAATAAAAAGCTCCAGAGCTGGCTGAATGTGGTAGCTCATGCCTGTAATCCCAGGACTTTGGGAGGCGGAAGCAAGAGAATTGCCTGAGCCCTGGGCAACTCAACGAGACCTTGTTTCTATAATAAATAAAAAAATTAGCCAGGCATGGTGGGGCGTGCCTGTAGTCCCAGCTACTCAGGAGACTGAGGCACAAGGATCACTTGAACCCAGCAGGTTGAGGCTATAGTGGCTATGAGTGTTCGAGACCAGCCCTGGGCAACTTGACGAGACCTTGTTTCTATAAAAAATCAAAAAATTAGCCAGGCGTGGTGGGGCATGCCTGTAGTCCCAGCTACTCAGGACACTGAGGCAAAAGGATCACTTGAGCCCAGCAGGTTGAGGCTATAGTGACTATGAGTGTACCACTGCACTCCACCCTGGGTGACAGAGTGAGACTCCAACTAAATAAAAAAAAAGACTCTAGACCCTCACTGTGGGGCCGCTGGCTGCCATTGTCTATGGCCCTTGCCCCTGGACCCTGGCATCTACGGCTCTTCCTTTCCCCGGTCAGAGAGGCTGACCAGGCTCAGCCAAGGATTCTGGCATCAGAGCCCAAGAAGCATTTGCTCGGTGCCAACAGATCCTGGGCCATTCCTCAGCACTGACATTATCTGAGAGCCGCCATAGCCAAGAGCTGGTTCTCCATCCTTCAGCGACAGCTTTACAGCAGATAATGTCTGCACAACACGGGCGGGGGAGGCAAAACCCTCCTCTGCTCCTGCCAGTCCTCATTTGTCTTTCGTGCTTTCTCTTAAAGAAATAAAGCTCCAAGAAAATGAATCCTTTGAAGAATCCCAACAATCCGTTATATTTCAAGGCACCTCCTCATTAGAGGGAGGTTGGAGGAGTTAAAACTAAACACACACACACCCCTGCTGCCGCTGCCCTGCATCTTTCGAGGGATGTGTGTTCCCCAGCTCTGTACTTACTTTATTAAGGGAGCAACGTCTCTGGAAGGCGGGCTCGCTGTTTGTTCTCCTGGTGTATATGTGCCACCTGAACGGCACAGGAAGGGTGCTATGCAGCAGAGCCAGGGCTGCCCCTCCCGCCGGCCTTGACCCAGACTTCCTGGCTGACTCTATCAAAGGCATGACCTCTGAGGGGACCTGGCCAGCCAGATGCTGTTGCAGGGTAATGAAGCTGGGAAGACCAGCAGATGGGGACAACTGTCCACCCAGGTTTGTGGGGCTGGCTGGCCTTCTCCAGGCCAGGTCTTGGAGCCATTAGCAGGTAACACCTCCCCGCCCTCCTCATCCAAGGGGGACAGTGAATCTTCAGTGGCCGCTTCCTTCCACCCGGGGAACAGTGAGGGTCTTAGGCTTTGGAGTGACTGGGGTGGAGCCAGCCTGCCCAAAAGACCACCTAATTTCCTTTAAGAAGCTCTGTGCTGGGCCGGGGTGGTGGCTCAAGCCTGTAATCCCAGCACTTCGGGAGGCCAAGGTGGGGGATTGCCTGAGCCCAGGGGTTCAAGACCAACCTGGGCAACTTGGTGAGACCTTGTCTCTACAATAAAAAAAAAAAAATTAGCCAGGTGTGGTAGCACACGCCTGTAGTTCCGGTTACTTGGAAGGCTGAGGCAGAAGGATCATCTGAGCCTAGAAAGTAGACGCTGGGGTGGCTGTGAGCATGCTACTGCACTCCAGCCTTGGTGACAGAGTGAGACTCCAACTTCAAAAAAAAAGAAGAAGCTCTGTGCTAGGACTTGCAGCAGAGTGGGTGTCAGCTGAATGTCCCATTGTGTCCTGGAGGGTGTCCCGAGGGGGTGCTTGTGTGTCTGTGGAGTGTTCAGTTCTCAGCCTCCCTCTGAGAGCACTCAAGTGAAGGGTGCCCATACAAGTGATGTGACAGGGAGGCCTGGGCCCCTGCCTGGGCTGCCAGGATAAGTGCCTGTCCCCACCAAGCAGGTCGCTCTTCAGGGCATTCAAATGGCGGAACAGCAAAGCAGAGCTTTTTTTATTTATTCTTTTTAGTCAGGGTCTCACTCTGTCACCCAGGCTGGAGTGCAATGTCATGATCACAGCCTCAACCTTCTGGGCTCAGGTGATCCTTCCCCCTCAGCAGCCCTAGAAGTTGGGACTACAGGTATGCACTACCATATCTGGCTACTTTTTTTTTTTTTTTGTACTTTGTGTAGAGATGAGGTCTCACTATGTTGCCCAGGCTGGTCTCAAACTCCTGGCCTCAAGTAATCCTTCCACCTCAGCCTCCCAAAGTACCGGGATTACAGATGTGAGCCACCATGCCCAGCAAGAGCTTTGATTAAAGACTAGTGCTGGAGAGAAGGGCTGCAGTCCCTCTAGACTGTAATCTCTAGGGTGCTTTGGCTCAGATTCTTTCTCCAGCTACACTGTTTGCAGGAGGATTTGATCAGAACAATGTGCAATCATTAGGTATGATTTACTGATCACCAAGCCACAACTGGAGAAAACCAAGGGTATTCCTGCAAGTCTGCAGAATTTATCTTGATGCTGGCCAATTGGACCACATGTTTCTCCATAAATAGCCTGGTGAGTGGCAGCTCGGGTCACCAACATAAGAAAGGGCTGGGAGGAAAAAAGCATCCTTTTAAACCAAGAGGACTCAAGGACAAAGTTAGCACATTCTGGTAAAGCCAGAGAAAGCTACCCACAGCAGCATCACAGCAACCACAGGGCATCAGCTCAATGTGGGCTTCCTCCTTCTTCCAGGATGTCAATGAGTGTCCTGCATTGCAGGATGGAGGCCTGAAGACCTCTTGTACCATCAGGAGGGTAAAAAGTCCTGCAGGCTGAGGCACTGGGTTGAGCTACAATCACCACTGGAACCTTCTGTGCCCAGTGAGTACGCTCAGGTGACAGCAGGGTCAGACTCTTAGAAATTAAAGCCTGAGGGACCCCAGTGGCTCAACAATTACCATCCCCCTACACACAAACACACACACACACACACACACACACACACACACACACACACACACACGCTTTTTTGAGTCTGGATCTCATTCTGTCACGCAGGCTGGTGTGCAGTGGCACAATCACAGCTCACCACAGTCTCAAACTCCTGGGCTCACACAATCCTCCTGCCTCAGCCTCATGAGTAAGTGGGACTATAGGCACGCCCACTACCCTGGGCTCATTTTTTAATTTTTTGTAGAGATGAGGTCTTGCTATGTTGCCCAGGCTGGTCTTGAACTCCTGGCTCAAGTAATCCTCCTGCTTTGGCCTCCCAAAGTGCTGGGAGTATAGGCATGAGCCACTGTGCCAACATTAACATTTTATATCTGATATAAATGGGAATGGCCAACATTTCCTTTTTATATCTGAAGAAACTGAGACCCAGAGAGAAGAAGTGAATTGCCCAAAGCTACTCAGGTTTTCTGACACTCTGATTAGAGTCTCATCTGGGGAAACCCACCCACGAAGTCAGATTCGGTAGGGGCAGGGGACACAGATAGGAGGCAGTTAGGTGTGGGGGTCTGGAGTGTGGGATTTGAAGTCAGGCAGGCCTGGGCTTGGGAGTTCTCATTTAATCCATTCATTCATTCACTCACTTACCTGACATACACTTCCTATTCTAGATGAGAGGGATACAGCAGGAAACAAAACAGACAAAGCATCTCGTCTTGAGTTCACATTTCGTGTGGAAGGACCAGATACTCAAAAAAGAGCTGTATAATATAATGTCCAGTGGTGATGTGTGCTATAATAACATGGGGGGGCGGGTGGAGTGAGCTGGCAGGCAGCACTTTTATGCAGGGTTGGTGCTGGAGGCAGTCAGGATAGGCGTCTCTGCGGCGGCAACATTTGAGCAGAGGTCCAAATGTCAGGAGAAAGCATTAGCAGAGGGAAGAGCAGACACAAAGCTCCCTAAAAGGAAGCAGCACTGGGAATTCAGGAACAGCAAAGCGGCCAGAGTGGCAGTGTGGAATGATGGGGAGGAAGGAGAGGGCTGGGCTGGTGCTCTGAGTGGGGTGGGCAGCTCAGGCCTTGGCCA